AAAAGTTTCAAGAGTTTCAAGGTTTGCATTATAATATTTTTATAACTCAGACTCAGTTCAAAGCTTCGAAAGCACAAGAAGATCCTTTCAGCCACAAAATAAAACAATTGAGGAGAAATGCAAATATTTTTGTTCAAATAATGAAACTATCCGAATGTTAAAAAAAAAGATCATAATAATAATGAAACTAAGCGTTTGAGTCTTTTTCATCGTGTTTATGACTTATGAGTGTATTATTTTATAGGAAATATATATTAAAAATACGTATTGGACATGTGAGAGTCCCATGTAAAATCAGGACCGTTCAAATCATCTTCTATACTTCTATTTATTCTCAGTCTCCTCTTCTCTAAAATACTCAAGCTTGAACTTGCTTTCTGCGTATCACCTCTCCCTTCTTCTCTTTGTCATTTCTTATAATTCTCTCATATCACTAAAAACACACACATAACTAAAATTATATTTCGCTTTGTTCTCTTACCATAAGTCACATACATATCATCCAATATCATCAAAAATGTCTTGCCTAGAGATTTATAAAAAAGACGTAAGTGACGTTTAAGCTTCTCTCTTTAGTTGCCTCTTTTGCTTATATTAGTGGCTTTTACTTTTTTTCCTTATAAGATTCTTTTAGAGCGATTAAGGTTCTAGTTTCTTGATTTACATATGTGACTACAACATGATTTTTTTTTCTTTTTCAAAACTACTATTAATAGTGTAACTTTTAAGAGATCTTTGGTAGCTCAAAAAGAACATGACAGAAAAGGGCATGCTTAGTGCAATGGAAAATCATGATTTTATGTGCAAAATTCATTTAGGTCAACTCCTTTTTCTTTCTCTTCATTTTTTTTTAATCCATTTAATTAAGTATAACAATATTGCCTTTGTAGTGCTGCAACTAAATGTCGAGAATAAATCCAAAGAATCTTGAAAATTGTGTGTATAAGAAACGAGAATACGTGGCAATGCAGAATTTGCGATTCTCTAATAATCACGTCAAATCATAGATTCAAAATGAAATTAAAACAAATTTTTATTTTTGTGGAAATACAAAAACTATCGAACTTATGAATCTTCTCCATATCAAGAGGACAAAAGGAGGATATAGTAGATACTACTAAAGAGTTGAAACACAGATAGGCATCTATAAATGTTTTATTAACAACTTGATGTGTGAAAATGCAGATGATGAAAAAGAAAGAAGGAGAAGAAGAAGAAGAAACGAGAGATGGAACTGTGGATTACTATGGTCGTCCCTCTATTCGTTCCAACTCAGGCCAATGGGTTGCTGGCATCACCATTCTTCGTATGTACTCTCTTCTCTAACTAAAAATAAAACTTTTTCTATTTTTCTCTGTCACGTCCTTTTCTGAAGATACCACATACAGAGTGATTGTCCTCATCTAGGTATATTTATTAGGGTCCATAAATATTATCAGCATGTCTTCATCTTTTCTTTGACTCATCTTACTATATATGTATTTCATACATTATTTTGTATACAGAAACATACGCTTACATTATACACATATATAACGTATACATAGATTACGATATGGTGTATATCTAGAAGTTTGTAGATTGATTGATATGCATACATCTTTTAGGTAAGTTATCAGAAACTAAAGTTTGAAAAAAAGTCAGAAACTAGGAAAGTGGCTATAGAACCAACAAAGAAATCATCTAAACTAATTTCGAATTTTATTTTAAGCAAAAAAAAAAAAAACTTCGAATTTTACGTGAATGTGTCAAAGACATCCATGTGTTCGAAAGTAGTCTCTATTTGTGGTTAAACCCCCAACCACATGACATATGCATATATCTCCATTTTTCTCATAAAAAAGCTTATATACTATGATGTAAATATTTATTTAAATTTTAAATTGTAGAATCATTTTCTGAATAAAATGGCAGAGTTGTAAGTGATTTTATATCTGCGTATTAAAAAAAGTTTTGAGCAAGACGTCAAGACAACATTTTCTCAACAAAAAAGACGTCAAGACGACAACAAATAATATATATATATATATATTAATATAAGTGCAAGGAAAGCATGTGTTAGTGGAATTAAGCTGCCTTACACGTAATTACCCATCTCGCCAGCTTTTGCCACTTGCACTTCTTCACATTTTATTTGAAAAAAATATTTTTCCTTCTAAATTTATTCTTTCAATTTTGATCTTAAAAAAAAACTAATTTATATGTACAAAAAGAAATTATATCCAAAGCATGGTTCCATTAAAACAAACAAACAAAATCAATTCAAGATTTTTTTAATCGGTCTTCTTTTTCTGGTTTGATTAAGATAGTAGATCGAGTCTACCTAATATTTTTGATAAAGAGTTCATAAGATTATTGGTTACTGATTTGTTATTAGCATGTGTAATTCAACTGATTTGCTAAATCTCAATTATTCATATAATTTCATAAATTATCATTTTTTTTTTAATTTTCATTAGAAGGTACAATTATTGTAGAGTAGTCATGAGATACTATCCAACCAAATAAATGTTAACATCATCTTGACGACACACGTAACATAGTTTATCAGTTATTCACAATCATTTTCCATTCATTCGATCAAGTTCCGGTTCCTTTCATATCAATTAGCGCTTGTGGGTTAAGATTATCCCAAACAAGTATTTTTGGTTAACTCACTAAATCAATTTTGCTAATTGAACCGGATATTAACAGTGAACCAGGGGTTGGCCACACTGGCGTTCTTTGGAGTTGGAGTGAATTTGGTGTTGTTCCTAACGCGCGTTTTGCAGCAGAACAACGCAGACGCAGCGAACAACGTTAGCAAATGGACAGGAACTGTTTACATCTTCTCATTGGTCGGAGCGTTTCTCAGCGATTCTTACTGGGGACGTTACAAGACTTGTGCTATCTTCCAAGTCATTTTTGTGATTGTAAGTGAAATCATAATAATAATAGTCACTCAGTTATATCGAATGAAGTTAAAAGACTGACTATAACATTTCTTCTAATGTAGGGACTTTCATCGCTATCGCTATCATCGTACATGTTCTTGATCAAACCAAGAGGTTGCGGGGACGAAGTGACACCTTGTGGTACACATTCAACAATGGAGATCACAATGTTCTACTTTTCGATATACTTGATCGCTTTGGGGAATGGCGGTTACCAACCAAACATAGCAACGTTTGGAGCCGATCAGTTCGATGAGGAGCATCCTAAAGAAGGGTACTCAAAGATAGCCTTCTTCAGCTACTTCTACCTTGCTTTGAACCTCGGTTCACTCTTCTCCAACACCATCTTGGGATATTTTGAGGATGAGGGGATGTGGGCACTCGGTTTTTGGGCGTCTACTGGCTCTGCCATCTTGGCTTTGATTCTTTTCCTCGTTGGAACACCGAGATACCGATATTTCAAGCCAACAGGAAACCCTCTTTCGAGGTTTTGTCAAGTCTTGGTAGCTGCAACGAAGAAATCATCGGTAGAGGCGCCGTCTAGAGGGAGAGAGGAGATGTATGACGAAGACAAACAAGAGAAAAATGATTCAGGGAGGAGAATAATGCACACTGATGAGTTCAAGTAAGTCGACTAAACATAGTACACTTCAATCCCTTGGAGCGTTGTTCTTAACATGTTTGTGTTCTGACTTGCAGGTTCTTGGACAGAGCAGCTTACATCACAGCAGGAGATCTTGATGACAAGAAACAAGGCGGAGTGAATCCATGGAGGCTTTGTCCAGTGACACAAGTTGAGGAAGTGAAATGTATACTTAGACTGATGCCGATATGGCTCTGCACTATAATCTACTCGGTCGTCTTCACCCAAATGGCATCTCTCTTTGTGGAGCAAGGCGCAGCGATGAAGACCACTGTCTCTGATTTCAAAATCCCGCCAGCAAGTATGTCCAGCTTCGACATCCTTAGCGTTGCTTTGTTCATATTCATATACCGCAGAGTTCTAGAGCCACTAGCCACCAGATTCAAGAAGAAGGATGGATCAAAGGGAATCACAGAGCTTCACAGGATGGGAATCGGACTTGTGATTGCTATCTTAGCTATGGTTGCAGCTGGGGTTGTGGAATGCTTTAGGCTTAAATATGCAGACAAGAGCTGCACTCACTGTGATGGCTCAAGCTCATTAAGCATCTTCTGGCAGGTAACACAACACAACTCTGTCCTAAAAATCAATCGCCTAGAGGGGGATAGCGTCCGACTCCTGACAATCTTTTCATTACAGGTTCCACAGTATTCTCTCATTGGAGCATCAGAAGTGTTCATGTACGTGGGTCAGCTTGAGTTCTTCAACGCGCAGACACCAGATGGACTAAAGAGCTTTGGGAGCGCTCTGTGTATGATGTCAATGTCGATGGGGAACTTTGTGAGTAGCTTGCTGGTGACAATGGTGGTGAAGATCTCTACAGAGGATCACATGCCTGGTTGGATTCCAAGGAACCTCAACAAAGGTCACTTGGACAGATTCTATTTCCTCCTGGCTGCGTTGACTAGCATTGACCTGGTGGTGTACATTGCATGTGCAAGGTGGTACAAATGTATAAAACTGGAAGGGAAAGATGAGATGCAAGACATGATGAGTGATGATGAAAATGACACCGACAGCGACGACTACGAGGAGCGAATGAAAGTTCCTAAAGTCTAACAAAATGTGTGTTTGGTTTCGGATTTTTTTTTGGTTTGGTTTTCCGGTGATGTAACTTGCAAACTGATTGATAAATAAAAAGCTAAATCGATTGTCTTTCTTACCAGTAAAGTTACAAGATGAGTAAGACAAAGATCCTCCATGCCATCTATTATCAAACAGTTGATAGATGAGAAGTGGCATGGTTCATTCAATGTAACTGTAAGAGTTTCAAAGACCGGGCATATGCATCATCAGAGAACTCCATATATATATATATAGGCATCCCACCTTGATAAAGAGCCATTCTCTGTATTATCCTTCTCCTAGAAGGTAGAAAACCAATATTTTTGATCAAAATCCAACTCTTCAATTATAAAACTGCTTTAAGAAATAGTTAGTTAAATACTACAAGTAGCAAACATATGTGGTTCACTTGTCAGCAATGGCAAAGAGTCAACACTTTCTCTTCAAGCATTTCATTACTACAGAAGATTGGCAAAATTATTTGAGCAACTTCATAAGCAGATTTATCACCAGAGAGAAACACATTTGATTTTCCATTGACCACAATCCAACTACATCCTGGTGTCTTCTTCACACCTTTATAACCCATCTCTTTCCTCATCTCCTTCTCCATCTCATGCTTCCCTAAACCAGCATACACGTTGCACAGGGCCACATGTCCTGGCGCATTAACCGGGTCTAGCTCTAGCAACCTCCTAGCAGCCCGTTCTGCTATGCCTTCCGCATCTCTGTCTCTCCAGTTGAGCCCGCATAAGCCTAGCAATGCGCCGTAGACTGTATGGTCTGGGATGAAGGGTAGAGTTGAGATGAAGTCCTCTGCTTCTCTGAGTTTCCCGGCTCGGCCTAATAGGTCTATCATCGAGATGTAATGCTCGATCCCGGGCTGGATCGAATAGGTTTCCTCCATTGCTTTGAATAGTTCTAAACCTCTTGTTATGAGTCCAGAGTGGCTACAAGCTGAGAGAACTGCGAGAAACGTCACAGAGTTCGGCTTCATCTCTGAATCAAGCATCTCTTTGAACAGGCTTAAAGCTTTATCTGCTAAGCCGTGATGTGATAGGCCCATCATCATGGAGTTCCACGAAACAGTATCTTTCCGGACCATCTTTGAGAATATCTCATAAGCATCGTCTATGGCTCCACATTTTGCGTACATTGAGACAAGAGAGTTCTGAAGGATGAGATCAGGATCATAGCAAGCCGTTGTCTTGGTGATCACGCAGTGTAAATGCTTCCCTTGATCGAGATTCGAAGTGGCGCCAGCAGAACTAAGAAGAACAGAGTAAGTCGAGTTTAACGGTTTCAGACCGTGTCTCACCATATCTGACAATAGAGACGCAGCTTCTGCAAAAAGCTCGTTTCGGACAAGACCTGAGATCATAACCGTCCATGTAACCCCGTCCTTATCGTGAAGTTTCTGAAATAAATCAAAGGCTCTAGAGACATCGCCAGCATCTAGATAACCATTGATCATTGATGTCCAAGATACTTTGTCGCGTAAGCTCTCAACTTTCTCGAACAGAGTTTGAGCTTGTGCCAAATCCCCAATCCTTAAATAACCATTAATCATAATGTTACAAGACTGTAAATCGAAGTTTTCATTAAGCAGATACTGCGCTGAACCGATCAAACCAGATGACACGTACATATGAACAAGGCTTTTGGCCAACCGTCCATGGTGATCGAGGCTTTCCCAACCATAAAATATAACTTGTGCGTGCAGTTGCTGGCCAAGACGGTGAAATCCAACACCAAGACCACCACAAGCATAAGCAAGAGAGATAAGGGTTTCACCATTCGGTGACATCCCGTCAAGATCCTTGTTCATTTCAAGAAAAATCAACAAGGCTTCTCTATAGAACTCATTCCAAACAAACCCACTGATCATAGCAGTCCAGGAAACGATATTTCTCTCAGGCATTTCACAGAACAATCTAAAAGCTTCATGAACATCTCCGTATCGACAATAACCAGACACCATGCTCGTCCAAGTAACTACATTTTTCTCACTCATACTCTCAAACAAGAGTTTCGCTTCTTCCCATCCACCGTTCTCGATGAACCCTTTAATCATAGCGTTCCACGACACAATATCTCTGCAAGGCATAGCATCAAACACCTGTTTCGCCTTCTCCATGTCCCCACTCCCAATCAGACCCGAGACCAACGTGTTCCACGAAACCACGTTTCTCTCAGGCATTTCATCGAACAGCTCAACTGCCTCTTCACTCCTTCCTTGGTCACAAAGCGCAGTAAGCATCACAGTCCACGAAACAACGTTCTTAGGCATCTCCCGAAACAACGTCCAAGCCTCGTTGAGCTTCCTGCATTTGACATAGCTCGTCAGCATAGCGTTGCAAGTGACGATGTTCCTCTCCGGCATGACTTGGAACAAAACCCTAGCTTCGTCCAAGTATCCAGCTTTGGCGAATTTGGTAAGAAGCCAAGTCCAGTGCCTGACGCGGCTGATGCTTCCTCTCTGAGGAATTTTGTCGAGCAGGTGGCGTGCATGTACGAGTCCTCCTTCGGACAAACGTTCAAGTATAAGGGCTTCTTCATTAGAGAACCTTCCCTGCTTCGATATCGTATGGCCGAGGTATCGACGACAGTTACCTGAAGAAGCTAAATATAGTTTCGAGAGAAAGGAGTCAACTTTCTTCACACACAGAGCTCGCATTCAAACTGTTTCGTTTTTATCTCTCTCCAACTTAATAAATGATCATAAACTAAGCTGCTTCTCTATATTCATTCCACTGAGACTAATCTATATATAAATAAGGAAAAAAATAAAATGAAATATTTTCCGAAATGGAAAAATCTGTTACTATGTACACAAAAACCAAACAAAACTATATAAACTTTTCAACTCACAACAACCATTCATTCATACATACATACATCCAGCTGAGTGATCCCTCCCTCTCGGACAAGAGGTTCATTTTTTTGAACTATCAATCGAACCGATAATGTGGTATAAAAGGCAGAGAGCTTGAGAAACAAGTGAGGATGACTTTGTGTGTCATATTTTTAAATGTAGCTGTAGTAGTTGTCACTGTCATCTCCTATGCAAATGTAACACAGAATAGCAACGAGGAAGACAAGGTAGGAAGAGAGATCAAAGGCTAAAGCGCCCCAACCGATGAGCCCAGCGTGTTTTAGAATCGAAGGTATTGCGATGCTTCCAACTGCTGATGCACCTGTCATGAACTTTGCTGCATTGATCCAACTGAATAAAGGAAAGGTTCATGTAAGTTTTTTTTTATTATTGTAAAGATTTTTAAATATGACGTCGATCGTTAAGAGGTATATGACCCTCACAGTTGAGGCCGATATGTAAAAGCGATGTACCTATTGTCTGATTCATTGAAGAGGGATGTACTATCCGATCCAGCAAAGAAGAGTAAAGGCATCGGGAGAAGCACATACATTATAACTGCAAAACACTCAGTATCAATAAAATGAAGCCAGGCAAGTTATCGCCACTGAGAAACAGATATTGGATGAGGGAGCGAAACAACGCACCACTTAGCATTGGCCACCAATTATTATACAGAGCACAAGCCTGGAACAAAATAAGAAATAATAGAATTAAACACAGAATATGATTTGAAGTAAAGTTGTAAAAGAGGTCTCTGGGATACCAGAATCTGCAAGACAATTCCTCCAGAAACAAGGATAGCTAAGAAAGCTATTTTCCCCATATCCAAACAAGCACGCAAATGTCTAGGTATGTCTGCCATTGACAAGTCTCTTCTCAACCTTTAAGCTGAATGCTAAGAGAAAATTCAAGTGAAAATAATCAGAGACAGAAAGAGTGTGAATGTTCTCAGGTTTCTGATGACAACATAAAACTCTTTATCATTCCTGACAACCCTACAATTTTTTACTATTCAAGGGGTCAATCTTCGTTTTAACAAAAGGAACACACAACAAAAGAGCTCCAAGAAAGTATCGTATTTATTTCAGTGGTTAGATTAGAGGGATCAAGCTTATCATTAATCTGTTTCTTTTTTTCTATTTCACTTATCAATTTCAACATATTCAAAACTCAATTCTACTTCCCTAGTAACTAACTACATGTAACCAAAAATAAAAATTAATTTCCAGAAAATCTTGATTTCTACAAAGCATTACCAAACACTTACCAAGCTCGATTATTTCCAAGGAATTCTACAAAAAGTAATCGAATATTACTGTATCCAACCCTAATAACCAGAATCAATCGATCATGGCAGTGTTTATTTTACTATTCAAGGGGGCCAATCTTCGTTTTAACAAAAGGAACACACAACAAAAGAGCTCCAAGAAAGTATCGTATTTATTTCAGTGGTTAGAGGGATCAAGCTTTCATTAATCTGTTTCTTTTTTTATTTCACTTATCAAATTCAACATATTCAAAACTCAATTCTACTTCCCTAGTAACTAACTACATGTAACCAAAAATACAAATTAATTTCCAGAAAACTCAAAGAATCTTGATTTCTACAAAGCATTATCAAACACTTACCAAGCTCGATTATTTCCAAGGAATTCTACAAAAAAGTAATCGAATATTATTGTATCCAACCCTAATAACCAGAATCAATCGATCATGGCAGTGTTTCAAAAATCAAAACGGATCTCAAGTTCATAAAAAAGAAAGAAGCCAAAGTCAAACAAAAATTAGAAGAAAATTATACCGAATTAGGTTAGATTTACGCCGAATGATAAAATATTTTTTACGAAGCCGACTGTTTTCTCTTCAATTATCAGAATTCTCAGACATTGCCTGCTAATTTCTTTAAGAGAAAAAAAGGAAAAGTAATCCGATTTTTGTAATATCGGAGCTCTTATCAGCTGTGATTGAGCACATTGTGATCAGGATAAACCCGCTACAAACTGACTGCCACGTGTCGGACTAGTTTTACTCGATCAATTGGACTACTCCGGTAAAAACCAAACCCGAAACCGTTTAGAGATATTTATTTAGTCCGGTTTGTTCTGAACTAAACAATTTCCGGGGAACTCAAGATGAGCTTTAAACAGAATTTGTGTCTTTTGCTGCTATCAACCGCAAATGCAGCTTTTGTGGTTTATAGTAGTTGTTAGCATTTTAAAACAATCACTCAAATCACTCTAAACCGTTTCAAATCCCTTTAAATCTCTTAAATTCAAAAACTAGTTTCAGTTAGTGTTTGCGTTTGCGGAGTGATAATTTTTTTTCTCTTTTCTAAAAAATATAAATACAAAATAAAAATTTTCAATAAAAATTTTAAATCGAAATTATAAAAATATAAAAATATATATATTATAAAATTTTAAAATAAAAATATTTTCTATAATTGTTTAAAAAATTCTAAATATAATTTTTATATTAATTATAATATTATGATTTTTGATATTTTTACAATTATATAAAATGTAAATATTATTACTTTATTATTTAACAGCTGCTGCATTTGGTAGTTAACCAGTCATAAGTATCCCACAAACACTCCAATTTATAATCGCAGTATCAGTCGTATAAATCTCTTAAAACCTTTAGAAACTGCAACCACCCACATCAGTAAACTCCCGCAACCGCAATCACTGTGTTTGAACCGGTCAGAACCTTAATAACAACCCAGGTTACTAAATCCATTAGACTAAATCATTATTATTTAATTCTGTCAACTCTTAAAGTAATTCTATTACTTCTTTACTGAGAGAGAATGAAAGTGTTCATATATATGACTCAATATGTTTCTTGTATTTTACATTAAGATCGGCCCGCCTTACCGGTGGAAAATAGTTCACTTATAATTTAGGAGTCCATATTATTACTCCTTGTTTTAGTATTATAATCTTATAACCGACAGAAACAAAATATATAATTATTTTGAGAAAGACCATTATTACTTACACAAGATTAATATGAATTGTATCATGATAAAAAGTGACTTATGTTTATGTGAGTTATGAGTTTAAGTAAGATTTTAACCATTATACTTTCTTACTTAATTTTAAATGTAATTCTCATTTATTTTACACTAAAGGTTGTTAATTTCTTTCTTGAAAGCATTTGTTTATTAGAATGTGATATCTGTTTAGCTTATTTTTGTTAATAATATTGATCCCATGTAAATTCCTACATCATGTTCTTTAGTATGTTTGTAGAAATGTAACTGAAATCGAACTAACACTAAAGACACATAAACATCCCACATGCTGAATTTTGTAGATAACACGAAAGCAAATATCAAATTATATTTGTATTTATTTATTGACCAAGTTAGGTGATTAAGGTATAATATTTAGAAATATAATTAGAATAAATTTTAAAATGAGATTAAAATGGTAAATAGAACATAGCTTATGGAAACTTGATCTCGTCTTATAATCTTATGTATTAAGCACCTCTCATATGTTTTTGAAGAGTCAAATAAAACAATATTTTTGTGAGTTTCCAGTTTTTTTTTTTTTTGAGGTTACTCTAAAATACCAAATACTACATTTCTTAGGCCTAAACTACATTAAAGTTTGTGGTTTGTTTCGTATGTCCTTCTTTAGTTTACTTATTATTCTTAGTCTTTAGTAGTCGTTGTGTTTTATAGTCATGAACTTATGTGGGTATTGTAAATTTTGTTTAGGTTGACTTTTCATTTTGTTGGTTGAAAATTTATGAGACCCAACTATGATATTTGTCTAACATCTGCAGGTATATGCCATCCACTAGTCATTGTGTTTTAATAGTAAATAATAATATATTGTTTTAAAAATATCTTAGTTGCATGCATTTGTGTTGGCAAGGACCATTTTGAGTTAGATATGGATTTCTTTTGACTTTATTAGTATGAATGTGTGTATTGAAGATGGTGTCTTTCTGTCAAGTGTTTATAATCCTCATTCAGCCTGTGTGATTTTCAGGATTCCAGTTTTCAACATGCATATATCATTATGATTTTGATCTATGTTAAAGTGTTGGGGTATTTTAAGAATAATAATAAACCAAGGACTGAATTTTGGTCGAAGTGTTGGACCTAGAAAAGTATTTTTTCTATCTTGGTCTTAAGTTTAAGAAGAATACTTAAGATAGAAACGGCGTCGTCTCACACCAATCTCGGACGGTAAGTCAGACGGCGTAATGAAATAATCTAGATATTAAGAAAAATAATATTTCCTCTAAAATATAATCTTAAGCAACATACAATATATTTTCAAAGCAATAAAAGTATTCTACTTATATCTGTTATTTCATAGATAGTTACAGAAAAAAATAAATAACTTAAATCAAGATATCTTTTGATGAACGATATTTTATAATTAGTATTATTGATATGTTTATTTATTTCGTCTAATATTTAGTTGACACGAAATGTTTAATAGTTATTCTATAAAATCAAAGGTAAAATAAAAACATCTCATTGTCATAGTTATGTTTTATTTATTTTTATACATATAAATTAAGGGATGCTTCAAACAATAATAATGAATAAAATAAATATTATAATTTATATTTTAAACTATATATTCATGAAATTTAAAACACTAACATTATATTTTTTATTTACTTTTGACATTTTAGTTTTTTTTAATTTTCAAAACAATATATATAATGTTATACATAATCTTACTAAAGTATTTTATATATTTAATAGAACAGCAATCTAAATGCAAATAACAAAGTTAATCAAAATTATTAATTAGAACAAAAAAGATTATAGCTGAATTGGAGAAATGGATGATATTTAACATGCTCAAGTGATAATTAAACTAATTAGATACTAGATATCGAAATCATAGGTATAATTAAAATAATATAATATTATTAATAGAAATTATACATATAAATTATACATATAAATTATAAAATAATTTAAAATTAAATTAAAATATTTATTATATTGTAAAATTTTATTTTATAAATATTCATATTTGTGCATGAGCGGAGAAAAATCACCTAGTTGATATATAAATATAGATTAATATAGAATAAAATAATTTATATTATTCAAAATAATGTGAATTTGTTTTTTATTAGGCTTTGGTATTGAACTGAATCACTCTTTTTTTTCAAAGTTAACCAATTTTGACATTTAATATAAATCCGATTTACAACACAACGGAACTGTATGAAGTAATGAACCACATTTGACCTTTCTGATTGGTTGGTCTGCTGTGGTTTTCAATCGTTTGAGTCTAATTAGTATTTTCAGGTATAATAGTATTTGGGATACTCATATAGTATTTTCAGGTATAATAGTATTTGGGATACTCACATACCCCACTGTTTGGAATTGTGTTAGGCGTTAGTCGGACGGTTATTATGGGCCTAATGATTTGTTATAAAATCGGAGATTAGTCGGATATTAATCGAGACCTGGTATCATTTTATGTATCTTTTTATCAAAATGTCCGATATAATCGGAGTTACTCCAAGAACTTTTTAAACCTTTCATGGATTCGCGGTCGAACTAGTAAGCCCGAGTAAATCCAAGAACTTTTATGTATCATTTTCAGTGGAATTCAAGATTTTTAGTTAGCTTTAATGTTTCTAAACCGTCATGGCTTCACGGCCAAACCAGTAAACCCAATGATCTAATATGTAATACGGTTTTGGTTTTAAAAATTATGTTATTTAAAATCTTACGAAATCCACAGATTTAAAATGTATTGAATGACTAAATTATATGATTTTTCGTTAGCTTTTGATGGAATTTTTATTATGACAAGTGAATAACGATGAAGAAAACCAAATTAGTTGATGTGATTTGATATTAATTTATTTTTTATTATTGGTAGTCTATAATAATTTTGATATTTTGCTATTGTTTGTTTTGGATTTTAAAGTAAATTTTACATTATTTAAGCTCTTTTCTAAATACTCAAATGTGCTAGTAAGATTTTCTTCCGAACTTGTAATCTTCTCATTATGGTGATTATCCATGTCCTTATAGTGATTAGTGTTAATGATGGTTGTTTAAGTTATCACATTCTTTAGTTTGTTTCTGCTGCTATCCAGAGGCGTGCTTGCAGTGTATTAAAAAAGGTACTTGCTTCAGGTCCCCGATTAATATGATATTTTAGGGTCTTGGATTTTTAAACAATTTTTATTCTAGTGGTTTAGACTTATGTAAAAATCTTTCCACCAGAGTCGACTAACGTACCTTCTGAATCCATTTTTTTTTTCCCTATGACATAATATAGCATGTAATAAACTTATTATTGTACAGTGTTTTCTTTTTTTTTTACATCAAACGGCTGATCTATTACTCAAAGAACTTGAGGTGGTCTGGGAATCCAGACCGGAATAGAACAACCAACGTACACAATCTTACGATAATCTAAGGACATAAGAGATCTTAAAGTCAGGGAAGCAGATCTTCAGGGTCTCCAGCTTTTCCAGTTCTGTTGAGAAGTTAGGCCATGCCTTAGGATTCTTGAGCATCTCAATCATCTCCTTGCAATCAGTTCCAAAGCTCTGACATGGCGAATGTTGAAGCATATTCTCCATTGCCCACCGCAGTGCTTCCAACTCTGAATGCAACGCCGATTCCAGTCGATCAAAATTGCGCAGCCCCATTAATTCACTCTTTCCGAAATTGTCATTCATCACCCATCCACAACCACTGAAAATATTTGTAGAGGTCCAAGAACCATCTATCATGCATATATTAGCCAAACTTAAGATCTAGTCTTCCTCTGTTCCGTTCCCAGTGGACACCGGAATTTCCTGCTCATTTGTTTTGAACCATGCTTGGCATTCGCTTTCTGCATATCGTGCAATCTCCAATGGTTCCCTATCAATACCTCTGAATAG